ACCCAAAACACCAACACACTCTAGTTCCCTCTCTATACACTACACATACCCAAAACACCAACACACTCTAGTTTCCTCTCTATACACTACACATACCCCATACACCTACACACTCCAGTTCCCTCTCTCTACACTACACATACCCCAAACACCAACACACTCCAGTTCCCTCTCTGTACACTACACATACCCCATACACCAACACATTCCACTTCCCTCTCTCTACACTACATGTACCCCATACACCAACAGAAAAGGAACTCAGCGCTATTGTTATTTTCAAAATGTTTTAGTATGTAATGTTTAAAACTCAATTAAAAACTGAAGAATTTATAATATTGTTTTCTGAAAGGAGATGCTCATCGCATACTCTTAACATTGAGCAGGGTAGATACATGTGAGTGAGTGAGTGAGTTTGGTTTTACGCCGCTTATAGCAATATTCCAGCAATATCACGGCGTTGAAAACCAGAAATGGGCTTCACACATTGTACCCATGTCGGGATTTGGACCCAGGTCCTCGGGGTGACGAGCAAACGCTTTAACCACTAGGCTACCCGACCACCCCTTAGGGTAGATACACACTGATATTAATAGAAAATAGAGTTTGTAAACTGTGCAATACGCTGGAAGTAGTAGATGTGCACCATCTTTTCTTTGTATGTCTGGTATAGGAGCATATGTGTATTGAGTATTTATCTCCATACATGTACCAGCCACCAAACATTACCATCATTGTCTTAAAGCATGTGACATCATGTGTATTTCATTCAGTGAATTATTGAAAATTGTTTGTTAAAGATTAATTGATAATATGTACATTCCACATTTTTAAACTTATGGTGTCTCACACTGTGTATTTCTTTCTTCTTAGATCCTATGTGGAAACATGCTTGATCCATGTTTCCAGCTTCTAAATCACAATCCTACACATGTACGCTGTGCCAACACACATTCTCTACTTCAGACCCCTGTACGCTGTGTTGCAGTGTTCTTTGACTTCCAATAGCGCTGAGTGTCATAAATTTCTTAAATTTCTGCTTTCCTCATTTACCTTCAAAAGTGTCACAAATCAAGTCAGCTATGAATTCAACTGTCAAGTCTCGTGCTCTTGATGCTTCCTGGGACTCCCAGGTGCCTGTCTTATCTGTTGCCGACGATGTGTTTACAAACTGAATGATTTTGAATATAAATAGAAACTCTCACCAGTGACTCACTCAGCAGGCCTGGGAGTTTTATATTTTTATCAACTCCTGCTATGTTTCATATCAAAAGACAGACTATTCTATTTGTCAGCCCTGGTATAACTTCACATAATTGGATTGTTAGTCAGGACCAGCCCTCTATCGATGAAGATATTTTGAATGTACAGAATTTGCCTCTAGGCCTCTATACGTTTGGCAAACCAAATCAGTAAATATTAGTGAGGCCAAAGTCTATATTATGCCCTATACTGGTTTTGGGGTCTTGTCTGTCTATGATAACTTCAACAGATACAATTCAGTTGAATCTATAAATATGTCATCTATACAATTCAGTTGAATCTATAGATATGTCATGTATACAATTCAGTTGAATCTATAGATATGTCATCTATACAATTCAGTTGAATCTATAGATATGTCATCTATACAATTCAGTTGAATCTATAGATATGTCATGTATACAATTCAGTTGAATCTATAGATATGTCATGTATACAATTCAGTTGAATCTATAGATATGTCATCTATACAATTCAGTTGAATCTATAGATATGTCATCTATACAATTCAGTTGAATCTATAGATATGTCATCTATACAATTCAGTTGAATCTATAGATATGTCATGTATACAATTCAGTTGAATCTATAGATATGTCATCTATACAATTCAGTTGAATCTATAGATATGTCATGTATTCAATTCAGTTGAATCTATAGATATGTCATCTATACATGCTATACAATTCAGTTGAATCTATAGATATGTCATCTATACAATTCAGTTGAATCTATAGATATGTCATCTATACAATTCAGTTGAATCTATAGATATGTCATCTATACATGCTATACAATTCAGTTGAATCTATAGATATGTCATCTATACAATTCAGTTGAATCTATAGATATGTCATGTATACAATTCAGTTGAATCTATAGATATGTCATGTATACAATTCAGTTGAATCTATAGATATGTCATCTATACAATTCAGTTGAATCTATAGATATGTCATGTATTCAATTCAGTTGAATCTATAGATATGTCATCTATACATGCTATACAATTCAGTTGAATCTATAGATATGTCATCTATACAATTCAGTTGAATCTATAGATATGTCATCTATACATGCTATACAATTCAGTTGAATCTATAGATATGCCATCTATACATGCTATACAATTCAGTTGAATCTATAGATATGTCATCTATACATGCTATGCAATTCAGTTGAATCTATAGATATGTCATCTATACAATTCAGTTGAATCTATAGATATGTCATCTATACATGCTATACAATTCAGTTGAATCTATAGATATGACATCTATACATGCTATACAATTCAGTTGAATCTATAGATATGACATCTTTTCATGCTATACAATTCAGTTGAATCTATAGATATGACATCTTTACATGGTATACAATTCAGTTGAATCTATAGATATGTCATCTATACATGCTATACAATTCAGTTGAATCTATAGATATGTCATCTATACAATTCAGTTGAATCTATAGATATGACATCTATACATGCTATACAATTCAGTTGAATCTATAGATATGACATCTATACATGCTATACAATTCAGTTGAATCTATAGATATGCCATCTATACATGCTATACAATTCAGTTGAATCTATAGATATGTCATCTATACATGCTATACAATTCAATTGAATCTATAGATATGACATCTATACATGCTATACAATTCAGTTGAATCTATAGATGTGTCATCTATACATGCTATACAATTCAGTTGAATCTATAGATATGTCATCTATACAATTCAGTTGAATCTATAGATATGACATCTATACAATTCAGTTGAATCTATAGATATGACATCTATACATGCTATACAATTCAGTTGAATCTATAGATATGCCATCTATACATGCTATACAATTCAGTTGAATCTATAGATATGTCATCTATACATGCTATACAATTCAATTGAATCTATAGATGTGTGATCTATACATGCTATACAATTCAGTTGAATCTATAGATATGCCATCTATACATGCTATACAATTCAGTTGAATCTATAGATATGTCATCTATACATGCTATACAATTCAGTTGAATCTATAGATATGTCATCTATACATGCTATACAATTCAGTTGAATCTATAGATATGCCATCTATACATGCTATACAATTCAGTTGAATCTATAGATATGTCGTCTATACATGCTATACAATTCAGTTGAATCTATAGATATGTCATCTATACAATTCAGTTGAATCTATAGATATGACATCTATACAATTCAGTTGAATCTATAGATATGACATCTATACATGCTATACAATTCAGTTGAATCTATAGATATGACATCTATACATGCTATACAATTCAGTTGAATCTATAGATATGCCATCTATACATGCTATACAATTCAGTTGAATCTATAGATATGTCATCTATACATGCTATACAATTCAATTGAATCTATAGATGTGTCATCTATACATGCTATACAATTCAGTTGAATCTATAGATGTGTCATCTATACATGCTATACAATTCAGTTGAATCTATAGATATGTCATCTATACATGCTATACAATTCAGTTGAATCTATAGATATGCCATCTATACATGCTATACAATTCAGTTGAATCTATAGATGTGTCATCTATACATGCTATACAATTCAATTGAATCTAAAGATGTGTCATCTATACATGCTATACAATTCAGTTGAATCTATAGATATGCCATCTATACATGCTATACAATTCAGTTGAATCTATAGATATGTCGTCTATACATGCTATACAATTCAGTTGAATCTATAGATATGTCATCTATACAATTCAGTTGAATCTATAGATATGACATCTATACAATTCAGTTGAATCTATAGATATGACATCTATACATGCTATACAATTCAGTTGAATCTATAGATATGCCATCTATACATGCTATACAATTCAGTTGAATCTATAGATATGCCATCTATACATGCTATACAATTCAGTTGAATCTATAGATATGTCATCTATACATGCTATACAATTCAATTGAATCTATAGATGTGTCATCTATACATGCTATACAATTCAGTTGAATCTATAGATATGCCATCTATACATGCTATACAATTCAGTTGAATCTATAGATGTGTCATCTATACATGCTATACAATTCAGTTGAATCTATAGATATGTCATCTATACATGCTATACAATTCAGTTGAATCTATAGATATGTCATCTATACATGCTATACAATTCAGTTGAATCTATAGATATGTCATCTATACATGCTATACAATTCAGTTGAATCTATAGATATGACATCTATACATGCTATACAATTCAGTTGAATCTATAGATATGTCGTCTATACATGCTATACAATTCAGTTGAATCTATAGATATGTCATCTATACAATTCAGTTGAATCTAAAGATATGACATCCATCCACAAGAATACAGAGTTGACTTTATTTCCTTCAAAAGCACTTCTAGTTTTGTCTCTCTCTTCAAAGTGTTGGACATGTCTTTTTTGATAAACCAATGAACTTTTCTGCATTTTATAATGTACACACACACACTCACACTCACACACACTCACACTCACACACACACACACACACACACACACACACACACACACACACACACACTAACACACACTAACACACACTAACACACACACACTAACACACATACTAACACACACACTAATACTATAACTTGCATCTGTCCAACCATATCCCACTGCAAGCACTAAAGGCTGTGCAATCTGTGTGTCCAGGGTGGATCAAGACCTTTGACGACTACTACCGGTCACAGACCAAGCCAATCTTGGACAACATGGTCACAAAGCTTGAGGAAGACAAGAACCACAAGTTCATCTATGCTGAGATTTCCTTCTTTTCTCACTGGTGGGATGAGATTGATGACAGCATCAAGAAGAGAGTCAAGGTGTAAGTACGCTCATGTTGCATCAATGAAGGAGGCCAGGGGTACCTACCCTCACTGTCCATCCAGGATAGAGTATGTACTCCCATGTTGCATCAATGTTATCAATATTGGTATTTTGCTGAAATTAGTCTCAGAATAACTATACAAGTTATGTGCTCTATAATACTCTTACAGCCAGTCAACTTTCCCATCTTAAGGGTCACTGGTCTAGGATTGTTTGTTACCTTTGTTTTTTCTCCTTGGCTACCCGGAGGATATCCCAGAAGTCTTGACTAGAAAGCGAATTTGTCACTTTTATTGATAGTATATGGGCATTTCGTCACATTGATCAACAAAATGAAATACAGTTCTGTCTTGGAAATAATGAGGAAATGTAGGTATCTTTTGGGGTAGCATCAGTAATGGTAGGGTGCAATTTTCGTTTACACTATTTTGACTTGTGACACAAACTAAATATTTCACCTGAGCATTATCTTGTATATTTGTTTTGTCAGTGCGTAAAATGACTAAAATTTTCACTTGGGCGATTAAATGCCTAAGTATTCAGTTACTTTACAATTTGACTGATAAATCTGTCCATTTATTTTATCATGATAATGAATTCCAAACATTTTGATGTTTAATTTGATCACCCTGTGACTGAAAATGATAGGCAAAAAAGTTTAATCAATCTGTTTTTTATTAAACAGATTGACTTATGTCAACAAATGTTTCTGTCAGTTTGTGAAATGATTGAAATATTTAGACATTTTATAAATTGTCTGAGTGAATCACATTTTACACATTGACTGTAACATATACACGCCCACAAATGAAAAGGCTTGTGAAAACAATGAGTTAGTGTTGTCTATCTCGCATGGAAGAACTTCCAAGTGAAATCATAGAGGGACAAGAATGATTATGCTCAATGCTAAAGCAAATGAATGAAAACAACATGCAATTATCATAACTAAAACCAACCAAAGTTATATGTATTACATTAGGCAGTTCCCTTGTTCGAGGAATGTATCCGTCATTATCCACATAAAGGAACAATATCTCAACTGATCACCTAAGTTTGTTTCAGGTGTTCACATAAGTGTCTTGTCTCATTGGTCAGCTGAGATAGCAAATGTCACAACTAATCTCATGATGTCCACGGTTCTAGGAAAACATTCATGGAGTTAGATAACAAAGAGCAATCAATCAACATATTATTGGTAATCCTTTGAACAAAGTATGTTGTTTTTACATTGGCATGTCATGCCCAGATATGTGTGTATTCCGTCTGCTTTAGTAAACCTACACATGTAAACACTTACTTTTGACAAGTCCACTTTGCAAGACAACAGTGATTAATCAATCAACATACTTTCTGTTAATCCTTTTGAATGGGTGTTTTTTTGTTACTCAGCTGATCACTCCTCTTGTTGCGCTGTCACGTGCATATTACATAACATACATTTCACTCCACTTCAGACCTGGATTTAGTATGAATAATTTCCCCAGCAACAAGAAATGCCAATTGGGAACCTTTGCCAGATAATCTGAGTGGTGCTACCACTAATTATATCTGTAGTAAAGTCATTAAATTAGCATCAAGTGAATGATGACAAATACACAGGTGAGGGGGTATACCAGAAAACATGGATGACGACAAGGAAGTAGTTTGTATTATCCACGCAATCTGAAATCCGAAAAAGCTTTTGCTGCATGGATATTTTTGTTATTAAACTATAAGCATCAGGGGTATTTCCAAATAACAACATCCGATGAGCTTCCGTTCTTTTTTTCTGTTTGTTCAGGTTAAATAAATAAATAACATGCGCCCTTTGTAATATCGAAATCTTCATATATCACGGGTAACCAATCAGTGTTCAGAGATGTGTGTAGATATTGCCTCTAAGTTTATTTACTCTGTCCTTACAGACAGTAGCCCAGTCTCTTGTCATGCTCAGTTACATTAGCAAGCAAATCAATACATAATCTCTAAAGTGGGTTCTCAATTGCTTCAAAATTGTGGGTGACCTTCATTCAAGGTCAAGGTCACAAGAGGTCACATGACACAATTTCATAAGATTTCAGATTACTTTATGAAAGTATTATATTTGGTGTGTATGCTGATTAGTCCTTTGTAATGTTCTTGTAAAGCTCGCAAGTGATATTGAAAGTCAAATTTACTTCAAGGTCATACGTTTAAAAATGTATTATGTTCATAATAACTAAAATAATGCTCATGGTTGTGTGATGAAATTTGTAACATTATCTTTAGGGTTGGGCATTTGAGTGATCAGGTTTTCGGCAACATTCATTGAAGGGCAAAGTTACTGGAATGGTCATTGTTAAGGTAGTTCTGCTCCTTAGTGTTCGGAACCAACCGACGTGTTTGTAAGAGCACATGCCATGTTTTCAATGAGACATAATTAACCTTGTTCAGACATAGAGAACAAACAATTTAGGATTAAAGCACATTTTTAGGATAACCTGTTTGATAAGATGCTAAATTCAAACAAAATATCTTACACATTTTGAAATTACTCCAATAACTAACATTAAGTTACATGGAGGCATGGGACTTTCTTTTGGTACAAAATCACTTAAGTTAATGCATATGCAAAAGAGTACAACATAACCTAGCTAGTAATGAAACCCCTGTAATTGTATTAACTGTAAATAAATAAGAATGATGACGTGAAACATTTAGAATTAATTATGTGAATGACATTGGCCTTGCAAACTAGAGTTATTTAACGTCATCTGCAGGTAAGATAGATAATGACTTCTCTTATGTTTACTTTTAGGCAGCCAAGTGGTGAGCTGTAGATAAATTGAGGCTGCCAATCCTAGATTAAGGTCACTTTGACGACTTTACTGTAGATGTCTGGGGACTTCGTGCTTTAATGTTGTCATGCACTAGACAAGGGTTTTCCCAGATTAAACTGGCAGTGCTTATGACTTTGTTGTTAAGGTAACTACAGGCATGAGACTTCCTCTTGTAAGAAATATAATTAAACTGGAAGTGATTATTTTAGGCAGCTAGATTCACAGGACTAGTTGTACTGTAGCATTGGGTATCAAAGATGAATATAGATGGTTATTAGTGTGGTCAGCTGTCGCCTGATTGGCTCATGATGATGGGAATTTTTTCAGTCATTCAGGAAAAGTTGGGATGGGGATGCTTCTGTTTTTGAAAGTAATGCAAACACGTTTCTGGAAGGTACTAAATACCGTATTCGACGTAATAAGCGCCCCACTCTAATAAGCGCCCACGGCGATATTTGCTAATATATTGGCTAGTGAACAATCCCAACCAGCACCCCTTCTGATTGATCAATGTACACAAGACTTATTTATTCGTGCATAATACGCACTCGTGTGTTATATCACCCTTAATTATGGGCAATTAAATTCTTGAAAAATATATCTATCGTATGTAAACATTTCAGGCTGTTAGCATAAATCACAAAATTTACGATCTTTCAACTAAAAATAATATTCTAATAAGCGCCCCCTATTTCTAATTTTGAGAGCGCCCTGGGCGCTTATTAGGAATACGGTAAATGTCATTTTTAACCTAAATTGTAAGTTTGTTATTATATGTACATTTATTCCAGCCTGGTAGACAATGGTCAGCTGGAGATTGTGACAGGAGGGTGGGTTATGACGGATGAAGCCAACGCCCACTACTTCGCCATGATAGACCAGCTGCTGGAGGGCCATCAGTGGCTGGCTGGAACACTAGGTCAGTGAATCACCTTCTTCTCTGAAAGCACACCACTGATGCAGCTAAACTTAATTTGCTTATTTGCATGAACGATGACACCCCAATTTGTTTGAGACCTCCTGATCCACACGTTCAGAGAGCTCATCCTTTGTGTACAAGATAATGGTTAGAAGAAGGCTCAAGGCATCATGAAAGGCACCTAACTTCAAGCGACACAGACAATGTTGCAAAAAACAAAAGTATTATTTCTTATTCTTATCCTGACACAACACATTGCAATTGCCAAAAGTCATAGTTTGCGAAAGGTTGTTCTGATGCTTTGTGAAACAGTAGCAAGCAGAGAAGATTGTTGTCTCTCAAGGATTTACATCTAACCATCAGCTATGGGGATTTCATGATGTCACTTGACTTCAAGAGCACCAGCGCTTCAGTATGTTCCTGTAGGGAGACATTTCCAATGGCAGTTCCTTGCCCCGTGGTCATTTACATGGATGACCACTCCAGTAGTTGCACTCTAACTCAGCAGGGGTTCAGCTTCCACTCCTACACAGACGATTGTTTCTTCAATGACCAGGATCCCTAGGTCCAACAACAACACATCCCTTTCTCCAGGTGTCTGCTGCCCCAGTCATTGTCCTGTTTACTACAAGATAAAACAACCAACTTTCAGTCTTCGTGTCAAATCCTGCCTTCCCACTGCCTGAAAATCCATCTGCAACCAGACAGCATCTTCACTAATTACATTCTGAGACATCTATCTGTGGATGATGTAGAGGGATTCTATCAGTTTGGGTGGGTGTCAAGCTGTGTGCTGTGTTGGCAACCAAGGATAGCAGGCTCCCCGGATGTAGAAGAGGCACGTTTTTGGATCTGTGTTGTATGATCGAAATGAAGACGAAAATTGCAATGTGTTGTGTCAGGTATACAAAGTCATGAATATTCAAATGCAAGTTAGTTTTTATTTTTCCCTAGAACTCAGCACAAATGTTTGTCGCCATAATAAGGTTGAAGTGTTATAAAATCAATGAACTAAATTAATTACATTAAGTAATACGTTACCACTGTTATACCGAGGCTGTTGTCTCCCACAACTGCTGCTATAGCGAAATCTACCACAGAGATCTCAATTACCTCATGCAGCACGTGCGTAGCCACCTAGCTGCCATGTGACACCCTTCACTCTTGTCTCCTTCGTCTGCTTAGCAAGACGTGTTTTCTCCTGCTGAAGCGTTCCTTGAAGATTTGGTGATATTTATTATCGTTTATTCTCTAATAAACTGTGCTTTTATGGGGCGTTGCGGTAGCTACGCTTGGTTATAATTTTGCCGCCAAACGGAAAATTTTTCCCGCCCTTTTTTCTATATACTTGCGGGGTTCGCGTATGCACGTTGTGTTTTACGTTTCCCCTGTTCTTGTCTGTTTTGGGGGTTAACATAACTTATTTCTTTAGTAAAAGTTATATGTGTATGTTATATGTTCACATTGCTCGTTTATTTTCTTGTGAAAATGTTCGTTTGTGAATCATTGTGGTGCGTGCGTTGTAACCATGTTTTGTTCTTTGTTTCTAGAAAACAATCAATGTCTGACATGGATATGTCCCCTGTCTCCACCCCCTCTACCCCTGTTCCTCGGAGTTGTGGGGTGTGCAGAAAGTTTTTGTCGTCCCGGGATCCCCACGATCGTTGCCCGTGGTGCAGGGTTCCTTGCGAGGAAACCCGGTGCACCCTGTGCGAAGGTCTGGGACCTGCGGAGTTTGAGCGGTACCGGCTGTGCGCGCAGTCCGTTTCCACCCCTGTGGTGGCCGGTTTGTCCGGTCGGGGCCCCCGTGCGGGCACCTCCTTGTCGGCTGCGGCGGATCCCCTTGCGGCCCTCGGGCTGTCTGGGGCTTCCGTCGCCGCATTGTTGTCGCAAATTGTGGACTCCAAGCTGGCGGCCTTATCGCAAGATAGGCCGCTGGCTGTTCCGTCCCCGGCCTCTTCGGTGGCCGCGGGTTCGGACGCGGGGTCCACCGGTACGGCGCCGGCTGCCGTGGTTACCGGTCCTTCCCCCGAACCGTTGCTTCCGCTATCTGTTAAGGACCGCGTGGCCATGGTGTATGACCTCTTCGAGGACATGCCAAAGCCCCTGCCGATACCGCGGGGTATCCACGGTTCCGTGGGTTCCTCCGAGGTATACGACGAGTCGTCCAACAAGGCTTTCCCGGCATCAACCTTGCTGCGCGGGATTAAGCCGTCTTTGGAGAAAGCCTTCACGGCTGCCTCCGGTCGGGGTCTCCCGTTACCTCCCCCGTCGTGGAGAAAAGGGTCTTTCCCAGTTCATGACCTTGCCTTTCCCGAGGCTGGTCCTTCTGCGGAAGCCCATGTGGAGCGTTTGGGGGTCCGTGCCCCACCGGTTGCCACGGTACCGCAAGGTACCCTGCAACAGCTGGACACCCTCGCTCGACACTCCATGCTGGCTATGTCTCACGGAGACACATACCTGGCTGCGGCGGCCAGTCTGGTCGAAGGTTCTCCCACGGACCGTGACCAGCGCATTTACAACTGCTTGCTCGGTTTGAATGCTTCCCTGGAGTACGTTGCCGGGGCTTCGGCCTTTGTTTCCGGCACGTGCCATTTTCTTCGGCGCCAGTCGTATCTGGTTGCTTCAGGGTTGGACGCTGCCAATCAGGAGGTGCTCCTTTCGCAGCCTTGGTCTGCTCGGACCCTGTTTAATAACAAGATCCCTGGGGTTCTGAAGGAACAACAGGCCGCTGTGTCTGCCGAGGCCTCTCGGCACACACTGGATCTTGTGGGGTCCTTGCATAGGCGCCTGGGTGCCGCTCCGAAGCGGAGCGCGCCCCAGGTTGCTGCGTCCGGCAGGCCTAAGGGGTCGGGTCCTTCTTCCTCCGGGAAGAAGCCCCGCTCTGAGGGCTCCGGTAAGGGTTCTCAGCAGCCCTTTCGCGGGAAGAAGGGGAACTGGGGGAAGCCCAAGTCGTCTAAGGACGGCAAGGGCCCCTCCAGGTGACTCTCATTGGAGGGGTTCGTATGCCGACAGCGCCAACTTCGGTTGGCCCGTAGGCGAACCCGAGTCACACGGCCCTGGACAGTTGCGCCTGCCGCAGCCCGTCCGGCCCCCCTCACGATTCGGTACGGCTATCGGCTCGATCTCAAAGCGAATCCGCCGCTCACCGTTGCCCCGTCGGCAGGTTTCTATTCGGAAACCGATCTTCCCTTCCTCGCCGATGCCATCGGCAGGTTGGTGGAGAAGAGGGCAGTTCGGGAGTTAGCTCTACCAGAAATAACACCGGGGTTTTACTCCAGGATATTTCTCGTTCCCAAGAAGGACAGTGCCGAACTCAGAATGATTCACAACTTGAAATCGTTCAACGAGTTCTACCTGCGCAAGCCGCCCAAGTTCAGAATGTTGAGCTTGACGGACCTGAAAGCACTGATCATGCCGGCCGACTGGCTAGCTTCGATCGACCTGAAGGATGTTTATCTGCATGTTCCGATTCACTCGGATCATCACAGGTATCTCAGGTTTGTCTTTCAAGGCTGGCACTACGAGTGGGTTGTACTCCCATTCGGTCTTTCGTCCGCTCCCTGGCTGTTCACCCGGTTAACCACCCCCATAGTGGGGTTCCTCCACCGGAGGGGTGTCCGGTACTTCGCGTACCTGGACGACTCGCTAGTAGCAAATCGAATGTCGGACACCCTGTCACGCCATCTCGTTTTCGCACGTCGGCTCTTGGAGCAATTGGGGTGGATTGTCAATCTCCCCAAGAGCGAGTTAACCCCTTCTCAGAACTTGCAGTTCATCGGAGGTCGGTTCAACACGGTGTCCCATCGCCTATTTGTCCCCCCAGACCGGTGGCACAAAATTCAGGCGATGATTGCCAAAGTCTTAGCGGTGCAACAGACTGTTCACTTTTGGGAACAGCTGTTAGGGCTACTTGTGTCAGCCCAGGACTGCACCGTACAGGGTCGTCTCCAACTCCGCCCGCTGCAACGGTTTTTAATCCAGTTGTTAGCAACGGAGGTGAACAGTGCGACCGTCGCCCTCCCGGATCGGCTCCGACCGCATCTGGAGTGGTGGACGGTCCCTTACAATGTCTTATCAGGAGTCTCTATGCGGCCCTACCGGGCCACGTTGAACCTGTATACAGACGCCTCTCTAGTGGGCTGGGGCGCCCATCTAGAGGGGGAGGTGAGCTCGGGGCTGTGGTGCGTAGACGAACTAGGTCTTCACATCAATTGTCTCGAGTTCAAGGCAGTGATCAACGCAGTCAATCACTGGAAGCATCGTCTCGTCGACGCCCGGCTCATGCTGGCGACCGACAACACGACGGTAGTGTCCTATGTGAACAAACTGGGGGGAACCCACAGTCACTCGCTGCTCGATCTCACGTTCGAGTTTTACGCTCTGGTGGACAGTGTCCCGTGCCAGATACGCGCCCGTCACATCCCAGGTGTGCGGAACGTACTGGCCGATGCTCTATCGAGGCCTCGGGATCCGAGCCCCACAGAGTGGATGCTGAACCCAGTAGTGTTTCAGTGGCTGTGCGAACGTTTGGGTCGTCCGATGGTCGACCTGTTCGCAACGCGGTTCAACAATCAACTCCCGTTGTTTGTATCACCAGTCCCGGACCCGAGGGCCATCGATCACGATGCTCTCGCGTTAGACTGGACGGGCTTGGACGCTTATGCTTACCCACCGACAGCGTTGATACCACACATTCTAAGCCGGCTTCGAGGAGTTCGCTGTCGAATGTTACTGATCGCGCCCATGTGGCCGAACAGATCGTGGTACCCCGACTTGCTGACCCAGGTCACGCAGTCGCCACTCCCACTGCCTGTGAGACCGGATCTCTTGATCCACCCTTACACCCGTCAGCTTCATCCAAACGCAGGGCAGTTCAATCTGCACGCGTGGATGTTGTCACCGAGCGTCTGAGGAGTAAAGGTTTTTCTCGCTGGGCGTCTCGGGCATACGTTAGTATGCATCGTGATTCTACCCAGAAGGTGTATAATGCACGTTGGGTTATTTTCACGAAGTGGTGTTGTAAACATCACATTCATTCGCCAGATAAGGTATCTGTGCAGGATATTGCTCGTTTCATGTCTCACTTGCGAGAGACCCGGAAACTCTCCGGGGGTTCCATTGCCAACTATGTCTCGTCCGTTGCTACGGTACGGGACGTTGCTATGGGTACCAGTCTCTCCAAAGAGCTGGTGATACGGGGTATTATCAAGGGTTTCAAACAGCACGATCTTAAGAAGGGCCGCCTTCGGGCACCGGCCTGGGATCTTTCCCTAGTGTTGCAATCACTTACGGAAGCTCCGTATGAACCCTTGCATAGTGCTTCGTTCCGGCATGTGACTTGGAAAACAGCATTTCTCCTCTCCTTTGCCACGGCGGCACGTGTATCCAAAATTCATGCACTCGATGTCGCCAAGGTACGATTCGATAGGGGTGACGAAGGAGCGGTCCGCCTGGGCCTGCTCATGGGCTTCGTCGCCAAGAATCAGAGAGTCGGGCAAGCGGAGAGAGAATTCACTGTAAGATCACTCAAAGAAATCTTACATCCTGCTGATACTGAGGACAGAGCGCTGTGTCCGGTTAGGGCCCTTAAGTATTATCTTAAGGCTTCGAATGAACGTAGACAAGGGCGTGACCGTCTGTTCATATCGTGTAACCCTAATCGCACGGTTGACATAACTCGCAACTCGATTGCGTTGTGGCTTCGTTCTGTCATCAATCTGGCGTACCGGTCTCGGGGGTTACCGGTAGCGGGGTCAAACCCGCACGAGATCAGGGCGCTAGCGGCAACATTTGCCCTACACTCGAATATCTCTGTTCACAGAATATTACGAGGTTGTTACTGGCGTTCTGACTCGGTTTTTGCCAATCATTACCTCAGAAAGGTTTCTGATGAAGACGTGGAGGGGGTGCACCGTCTTGGGCCGCTGATCGCGGCACAAGCGGTCATCTAGGGGGTGTGTCCAGCGCAATTTCAAACTCCGCAGTCGTCAGTCCTTGCACGGTGGTCAATCTGGGTCGTCTCCAATGTTCCCACGCCGTGGGTACAGGAGTGGGGGTCCTGCAAACCAGCGCACTCACACCACAGGTGAGGCGGCTTTATGTGTGTTTTGTCCTTATTTGTATTTTGACAATTATGCATTTAATTGTCTGTCGTGTATTCCAACCTTGCGATACATGCTTACGAATACTGGAATTAGGTCACGCGCCTAATGCATACTTTCAGTAGGCTTGCTCTGGGATATACGGTCTGAAGGAAATTAATTTCCCTCTTTTCGACTGTTTAACCTGATCTAAGATTTAGCTCACGCGGATACAGTGTTCTCATCCGCTGCGGCGATGAAATACCTATCCAGTGGGGCCGTTTGGAGTCACCAATCGTTTTGGCAATGACGATTGAGCCTTACGGTATGCGCATGACAGTGCTTTGGTATTCCTATAGGGTAACGCCTAGCTAGGTGCATGCGCATCGAGTGCTTCCGCCTTGGTGTTTACTTCCGCTGGTCGGAAGGAACGCTAGCAGTCAGGATTCGGGTTGTAGGTGCTCCCCACCGCCTACTGTGGTAGTCAGCCTCGGTATAACAGTGGTAACGTATTACTTAATGTAATTTGTAGAATTTTCCTATTCGGAATATTCTATAAGTAATACGTTACCACTGGGCTGCTGCCCGCCCGTCCGTCCCCCGAGCACTTGCTCTCGCAGGAGACAAGAGTGAAGGGTGTCACATGGCAGCTAGGTGGCTACGCACGTGCTGCATGAGGTAATTGAGATCTCTGTGGTAGATTTCGCTATAGCAGCAGTTGTGGGAGACAACAGCCTCGGTATAACAGTGGTAACGTATTACTTATAGAATATTCCGAATAGGAAAATTCTACAAGTTTTGTTTCAAAAATTAGAGCATTGATAAAAAATGCCTTTTGTTGCAGATTAAGAAGTATTGTTGAAATAAGGAAGAGATTTTATGGATGTAAACTTGTTTATTATGAGGAATGCAACATTTCTGACTATATATTTACTCCTTCATCAGGTCAAGTAAGTATATACTCCGAAATGTTGTGTTCCTCATAATAAAGAAGTTGACATCCCTTAATTCTCTTCCTTATGTGTATCCCTCCTAAATGCCATTCAAAGACTTCATTGTTGAAATGTTGTTACATGTTTCATGTTGATCAAGCCTCACTATCTATGGAGAAAATATTGGATATGGATATGAATGCTTGCACCTTATGTTAAGTAGCTGTTTTTGCTGATATTTTAAGCCGTAGACTTCACAGACAGGAGAGAGGGGTGGTATCTCATACGGTGGACTGAACGATTGTCGGTCAGAGTCATCCTACAGATGCCATGTTACCCTTCTCTGGTGACCTTTCTGACTGATAACATCTTTCATCATGTGCATAAGGAGTTTGACTGTGGTAGAATCCCATCATGTGTATGGTCACAATAAGTACAGCTCTACTCCTTCAATGTTATGTTGTATCCTCTCATTTCTATAGGTCTCCTTCAGTCTGAAACCATTTTTAGTTTTGAATGTGTGATGACAATGTGCGTCTGGTGCAGGTGTGAAGCCCCAGTCAGGCTGGGCAATAGACCCTTTTGGGTACTCCTCCACCATGGCCTACATACTGAAGCGCACAGGTCTGAAGAGCATGCTCATACAACGTGTGCACTACTCCATCAAGAAACACTTGGCACAGAAGAAAGCAATGGAGTTCATGTGGAGGCAGCAGTGGGGTATGTGCCATAGGAGTGACATTAAAGTGGTTGGAAGTGTCACAGTAAAGTGGGTGGCAGCATCACAGTAAAGTGGGTGGCAGCGTCACAGTAAAGTGGGTGGCAGCATCACAGTAAAGTGGGTGGCAGTGTCACAGTCAAGAAGGTGGCAGCATCACAGTAAAGTGGGTGGCAGTGTCACAGTCAAGAAGGTGGCAGCATCACAGTAAAGTGGGTGGCAGAGTCACAGTAAAGTGGGTGGCAGTGTCACAGTAAAGTGGGTGGCAGTGTCACAGTCAAGAAGGTGGCAGCATCACAGTAAAGTGGGTGGCAGTGTCACAGTAAAGTAGGTGGCAGCATCACAGTAAAGTGGGTGGCAGTGTCACAGTAAAGTGGGTGGCAGTGTCACAGTCAAGAAGGTGGCAGCATCACAGTAAAGTGGGTGGCAGTGTCACAGTAAAGTGGGTGGCAGTGTCACAGTAAAGTGGGTGGCAGTGTCACAGTAAAGTAGGTGGCAGTGTCACAGTAAAGTAGGTGGCAGCATCACAGTAAAGTGGGTGGCAGCATCACAGTAAAGTGGGTGGCAGTGTCACAGTAAAGTAGGTGGCAGTGTCACAGTAAAGTGGGTGGCAGCGTCACAGTAAAGTAGGTGGCAGTGTCACAGTAAAGTAGGTGGAAGCGTCACAGTAAAGTGGGTGGCAGCATCACAGTAAAGTGGGTGGAAGCGTCTCAGTAAAGTGGGTGGAAGCGTCACAGTAAAGTGGGTGGCAGTGTCACAGTAAAGTGGGTGGCAGTGTCACAGTCAAGTAGGTGGAAGCGTCACAGTAAAGTGGGTGGCAGCATCACAGTAAAGTGGGTGGCAGCATCACAGTAAAGTGGGTGGCAGTGTCACAGTAAAGTGGGTGGAAGCGTCACAGTAAAGTGGGTGGCAGCGTCACAGTAAAGTTGGTGGCAGCGTCACAGTAAAGTGGGTGGAAGCGTCACAGTAAAGTGGGTGGCAGCCTCACAGTAAAGTGGGTGGAAGTGTCACAGTAAAGTGGGTGGCAGCGTCACAGTAAAGTGGGTGGAAGTGTCACAGTAAAGTGGGTGGTAAAGTGGGTGGAAGCGTCACAGTAAAGTGAGTGGCAGTGTCACAGTAAAGTGAAATATACACTCGTATATAGAATATTGTGAACTGACACTGAAATATAGTTGGTATTTGTCATTGCTTCCTACCAGCTTCAATTACTAATGAAGTATGACTCCTAAAGGGCCTGAAGTACTGATTGTAGCATGTTGTGTTGTCAGACAACGAGGGAGGCACGGATATGTTCTGCCACATGATGCCCTTCTACTCCTATGATGTCCCTCACACATGTGGCCCGGACCCCAAGGTCTGCTGCACATTCGACTTCCGCCGGCTGCCAGGATCCAAGTACAAGTGCCCCTGGAAGCTGAACCCTGTGTCGGTCAATGATGGCAATGTGGCCGAGAGGTACGTATTGTCAATATAGGTGGTCAATGTGACAGAGAGGTACGTATTGTCACTATAGGAGCTCAATGTGACAGAGAGGTACACATTGTCAATATAGGTGGTCAATGTGACAGAGAGGTACGTATTGTCACTATAGGAGCTCAATGTGACAGAGAGGTACACATTGTCAATATAGGTGGTGGTCAATGTGACAGAGAGGTACACATTGTCAATATAGGTGGTGGTCAATGTGACAGAGAGGTACACATTGTCACTATAGGAGCTCAATGTGACAGAGAGGTACACATTGTCAATATAGGTGGTGGTCAATGTGACAGAGAGGTACACATTGGATCGGATGGTCAGGCTCGCTGACATGGTTTGATGTGTGATGTAGTGGGGTGAGATACAGGAGGAGATGTGTGATGTAGTGGGGTGAGATACAGGAGGAGATGTGTAATGTAGTGGGCTGAGATACAGGAGGTGATGTGTGATGTAGTGGGGTGAGATACAGGAGGAGATGTGTGATGTAGTGGGGTGAGATACAGGTAGGAGATGTGTGATGGAGTGTGCTGAGATACAGGAGGTGATGTGTGATGTAGTGGGGTGAGATACAGGAGGAGATGTGTAATGTAGTGGGGTGAGATACAGGAGGAGATGTGTGATGTAGTGGGGTGAGATACAGGAGGAGATGTGTAATGTAGTGGGGTGAGATACAGGAGGAGATGTGTAATGTAGTGGGCTGAGATACAGGAGGTGATGTGTGATGTAGTGGGGTGAGATACAGGAGGAGATGTGTGATGTAGTGGGGTGAGATACAGGAGGAGATGTGTAATGTAGTGGGCTGAGATACAGGAGGAGATGTGTGATGTAGTGGGGTGAGATACAGGAGGAGATGTGTGATGGAGTGTGCTGAGATACAGGAGGAGATGTGTAATGTAGTGGGGTGAGATACAGGAGGTGATGTGTGATGTAGTGGGGTGAGATACAGGAGGAGATGTGTAATGTAGTGGGCTGAGATACAGGAGGTGATGTGTGATGTAGTGGGGTGAGATACAGGTAGGAGATGTGTGATGGAGTGTGCTGAGATACAGGAGGAGATGTGTGATGTAGTTGGGTGAGATACAGGAGGAGATGTGTAATGTAGTGGGCTGAGATACAGGAGGTGATGTGTGATGTAGTGGGACGAGATACAGGAGGAGATGTGTGATGTAGTGGGGAGAGATACAGGAGGAGATGTGTAATGTAGTGGGGAGAGATACAGGAGGAGATGTGTGATGTAGTGGGGTGAGATACAGGAGTGAGGTACAGGAGGTGATGTGTGATGTAGTGGGACGAGATACAGGAGGAGATGTGTGATGTAGTGGGGAGAGATACAGGAGGTGATGTGTGATGTAGTGGGTTGAGATACAGGAGGAGATGTGTGATGTAGTGGGGTGAGATACAGGAGGAGATGTGTAATGTAGTGGGCTGAGATAGAGGAGGTGATATGTGTTGTTGTGGGGAGAGATACAGGAGTGAGGTACAGGAGGTGATGTGTGTTGTAGGTCCCTGACCTTGTTGGACCAATATCGGAAGAAAGCCCAGCTGTACAAGACCGATGTGCTGTTGATCCCTCTTGGGGATGACTTCCGGTACGACCAGGCCGATGAGTGGGACAAGCAGTACTCCAACTACCAGAAGATCTTCAACTATGTCAACTCACATTCAGAACTCAATACTCAGGTATACATTGAAAGACTGCTATCAGCACAGACATCCCTGCCCTTAGAAATAAACAGTTGACTGTCGACTTTGTTGATTGAACACGTCATGTCCACAATACGATATTTGTGTGATTCATATCAGATTTATATGTTTAGGACAGACTGTACACTCTACAAACAATCCTGTTCTCACAGATCCTTTTCGGTATATTAACTGACAACACACAATCCTGTTCTCACAGAAACAGTTCAGTACATTGTCTGACAACACACAATCCTGTTCACAGAAACAGTTCAGTACATTGTCTGACAACACACAATCCTGTTCACAGAAACAGTTCAGTACATTGTCTGACAACACACATCCTGTTCACATGGATGCAGTTCAGTACATTGTCTGACAACACACAATCCTGTTCTCATGGATGCAGTTCAGTACATTGTCTGACAACACACAATCCTGTTCACATGGATGCAGTTCAGTACATTGTCTGACAACACACAATCCTGTTCACAGAAGTATTTCAGTACATTGTCTGACAACACACAATCCTGTTCACAGAAGTATTTCAGTACATTGTCTGACAACACACAATCCTGTTCACATGGATGCAGTTCAGTACATTGTCTGACAACACACAATCCTGTTCACAGAAACAGTTCAGTACATTGTCTGACAACACACAATCCTGTTCACAGAAGCAGTTCAATACATTGTCTGACAACACACAATCCTGTTCACAGAAACAGTTCAGTACATTGTCTGACAACACACAATCCTGTTCACATGGATGCAGTTCAGTACATTGTCTGACAACACACAATCCTGTTCACAGAAACAGTTCAGTACATTGTCTGACAACACACAATCCTGTTCACATGGATGCAGTTCAGTACATTGTCTGACAACACACAATCCTGTTCACAGAAACAGTTCAGTACATTGTCTGACAACACACAATCCTGTTCACATGGATGCAGTTCAGTACATTGTCTGACAACACACATCCTGTTCTCATGGATGCAGTTCAGTACATTGTCTGACAACACACAATCCTGTTCACAGAAGCATTTCAGTACATTGTCTGACAACACACAATCCTGTTCACAGAAGCAGTTCAATACATTGTCTGACAACACACAATCCTGTTCACAGAAGCATTTCAGTACATTGTCTGACAACACACAATCCTGTTCTCACAGAAGCATTTCAGTACATTGTCTGACAACACATATCCTGTTCACAGAAACAGTTCAGTACATTGTCTGACAACACACAATCCTGTTCACATGGATGCAGTTCAGTACATTGTCTGACAACACACAATCCTGTTCACATGGATGCAGTTCAGTACATTGTCTGACAACACACAATCCTGTTCTCACAGATGCAGTTCAGTACATTGTCTGACAACACACAATCCTGTTCTCATGGATGCAGTTCAGTACATTGTCTGACAACACACAATCCTGTTCACAGAAGCATTTCAGTACATTGTCTGACAACACACAATCCTGTTCTCACAGATGCAGTTCAGTACATTGTCTGACAACACACAATCCTGTTCACATGGATGCAGTTCAGTACATTGTCTGACAACACACAATCCTGTTCTCACAGATGCAGTTCAGTACATTGTCTGACAACACACAATCCTGTTCACAGAAGCATTTCAGTACATTGTCTGACAACACACAATCCTGTTCTCATGGATGCAGTTCAGTACATTGTCTGACAACACACAATCCTGTTCTCATGGATGCAGTTCAGTACATTGTCTGACAACACACAATCCTGTTCTCATGGATGCAGTTCAGTACATTGTCTGACAACACACAATCCTGTTCACAGAAACAGTTCAGTACATTGTCTGACAACACACAATCCTGTTCACATGGATGCAGTTCAGTACATTGTCTGACAACACACATCCTGTTCACAGAAACAGTTCAGTACATTGTCTGACAACACACATCCTGTTCACAGAAACAGTTCAGTACATTGTCTGACAACACACAATCCTGTTCACATGGATGCAGTTCAGTACATTGTCTGACAACACACAATCCTGTTCACATGGATGCAGTTCAGTACATTGTCTGACAACACACAATCCTGTTCACATGGATGCAGTTCAGTACATTGTCTGACAACACACAATCCTGTTCACAGAAGTATTTCAGTACATTGTCTGACAACACACAATCCTGTTCACAGAAGTATTTCAGTACATTGTCTGACAACACACAATCCTGTTCACATGGATGCAGTTCAGTACATTGTCTGACAACACACAATCCTGTTCACAGAAACAGTTCAGTACATTGTCTGACAACACACAATCCTGTTCACAGAAGCAGTTCAATACATTGTCTGACAACACACAATCCTGTTCACAGAAACAGTTCAGTACATTGTCTGACAACACACAATCCTGTTCACATGGATGCAGTTCAGTACATTGTCTGACAACACACAATCCTGTTCACAGAAACAGTTCAGTACATTGTCTGACAACACACAATCCTGTTCACATGGATGCAGTTCAGTACATTGTCTGACAACACACAATCCTGTTCACAGAAACAGTTCAGTACATTGTCTGACAACACACAATCCTGTTCACATGGATGCAGTTCAGTACATTGTCTGACAACACACATCCTGTTCTCATGGATGCAGTTCAGTACATTGTCTGACAACACACAATCCTGTTCACAGAAGCATTTCAGTACATTGTCTGACAACACACAATCCTGTTCACAGAAGCAGTTCAATACATTGTCTGACAACACACAATCCTGTTCACAGAAGCATTTCAGTACATTGTCTGACAACACACAATCCTGTTCTCACAGAAGCATTTCAGTACATTGTCTGACAACACATATCCTGTTCACAGAAACAGTTCAGTACATTGTCTGACAACACACAATCCTGTTCACATGGATGCAGTTCAGTACATTGTCTGACAACACACAATCCTGTTCACATGGATGCAGTTCAGTACATTGTCTGACAACACACAATCCTGTTCTCACAGATGCAGTTCAGTACATTGTCTGACAACACACAATCCTGTTCTCATGGATGCAGTTCAGTACATTGTCTGACAACACACAATCCTGTTCACAGAAGCATTTCAGTACATTGTCTGACAACACACAATCCTGTTCTCACAGATGCAGTTCAGTACATTGTCTGACAACACACAATCCTGTTCACATGGATGCAGTTCAGTACATTGTCTGACAACACACAATCCTGTTCTCACAGATGCAGTTCAGTACATTGTCTGACAACACACAATCCTGTTCACAGAAGCATTTCAGTACATTGTCTGACAACACACAATCCTGTTCTCATGGATGCAGTTCAGTACATTGTCTGACAACACACAATCCTGTTCTCATGGATGCAGTTCAGTACATTGTCTGACAACACACAATCCTGTTCTCATGGATGCAGTTCAGTACATTGTCTGACAACACACAATCCTGTTCACAGAAACAGTTCAGTACATTGTCTGACAACACACAATCCTGTTCACATGGATGCAGTTCAGTACATTGTCTGACAACACACATCCTGTTCACAGAAACAGTTCAGTACATTGTCTGACAACACACATCCTGTTCACAGAAACAGTTCAGTACATTGTCTGACAACACACAATCCTGTTCACATGGATGCAGTTCAGTACATTGTCTGACAACACACAATCCTGTTCACATGGATGCAGTTCAGTACATTGTCTGACAACACACAATCCTGTTCACATGGATGCAGTTCAGTACATTGTCTGACAACACACAATCCTGTTCACAGAAACAGTTCAGTACATTGTCTGACAACACACAATCCTGTTCACAGAAGCATTTCAGTACATTGTCTGACAACACACAATCCTGTTCACAGAAGCAGTTCAATACATTGTCTGACAACACACAATCCTGTTCACAGAAACAGTTCAGTACATTGTCTGACAACACACATCCTGTTCTAACAGATGCAGTTCAGTACATTGTCTGACAACACACAATCCTGTTCACAGAAGCATTTCAGTACATTGTCTGACAACACACAATCCTGTTCTCACAGAAGCATTTCAGTACATTGTCTGACGACACACAATCCTGTTCTCACAGATGCAGTTCAGTACATTGTCTGACAACACACATCCTGTTCTCACAGATGCAGTTCAGTACATTGTCTGACAACACACAATCCTGTTCTCACAGATGCAGTTTGGTACATTGTCTGACAACACACAATCCTGTTCTCACAGATGCAGTTCAGTACATTGTCTGACAACACACAATCCTGTTCACAGAAGCATTTCAGTAAAATGTCTGACAACGCACAATCCTGTTCTCACAGATGCAGTTCAGTACATTGTCTGACGAGACACAATCCTGTTCTCACAGATGCAGTTCAGTACATTGTCTGACAACACACAATCCTGTTCTCACAGATGCAGTTCAGTACATTGTCTGACAACACACAATCCTGTTCACAGAAGCATTTCAGTACATTGTCTGACAACACACAATCCTGTTCTCACGGATGCAGTTCAGTACATTGTCTGACGAGACACAATCCTGTTCACAGAAGCAGTTCAGTACATTGTCTGACAACACACAATCCTGTTCTAACAGATGCAGTTCAGTACATTGTCTGACAACACACATCCTGTTCTCACAGATGCAGTTCAGTACATTGTCTGACAACACACATCCTGTTCTCACGGATGCAGTTCAGTACATTGTCTGACGAGACACAATCCTGTTCTCACAGATGCAGTTCAGTACATTGTCTGACGAGACACAATCCTGTTCTCACAGATGCAGTTCAGTACATTGTCTGACAACACACAATCCTGTTCTAACAGATGCAGTTCAGTACATTGTCTGACAACACACATCCTGTTCTCACAGATGCAGTTCAGTACATTGTCTGACAACACACATCCTGTTCTCACAGATGCAGTTCAGTACATTGTCTGACAACACAAATCCTGTTCTCACAGATGCAGTTCAGTACATTGTCTGACAACACAATCCTGTTCTCACAGATGCATTTCAGTACATTGTCTGACGAGACACAATCCTGTTCTCACAGATGCAGTTTGGTACATTGTCTGACAACACAATCCTGTTCTCACAGATGCAGTTCAGTACATTGTCTGACGAGACACAATCCTGTTCTCACAGATGCAGTTTGGTACATTGTCTGACAACACACATCCTGTTCTCACGGATGCAGTTCAGTACATTGTCTGACGAGACACAATCCTGTTCTCACAGATGCAGTTCAGTACATTGTCTGACGAGACACAATCCTGTTCTCACAGATGCAGTTCAGTACATTGTCTGACAACACACAATCCTGTTCTAACAGATGCAGTTCAGTACATTGTCTGACAACACACATCCTGTTCTCACAGATGCAGTTCAGTACATTGTCTGACAACACACATCCTGTTCTCACAGATGCAGTTCAGTACATTGTCTGACAACACACATCCTGTTCTCACAGATGCAGTTCAGTACATTGTCTGACAACACAATCCTGTTCTCACAGATGCATTTCAGTACATTGTCTGACGAGACACAATCCTGTTCTCACAGATGCAGTTCAGTACATTGTCTGACAACACACAATCCTGTTCTCACAGATGCAGTTCAGTACATTGTCTGACAACACACAATCCTGTTCACAGAATCATTTCAGTAAAATGTCTGGCAACGCACAATCCTGTTCTCACAGATGCAGTTCAGTACATTGTCTGACGAGACACAATCCTGTTCTCACAGATGCAGTTCAGTACATTGTCTGACAACACACAATCCTGTTCTCACAGATGCAGTTCAGTACATTGTCTGACAACACACAATCCTGTTCTCACAGATGCAGTTCAGTACATTGTCTGACGAGACACAATCCTGTTCTCACAGATGCAGTTCAGTACATTGTCTGACAACACGCAATCCTGTTCTCACAGATGCAGTTCAGTACATTGTCTGACGAGACACAATCCTGTTCTCACAGATGCAGTTCAGTACATTGTCTGACAACACACATCCTGTTCTCACAGATGCAGTTCAGTACATTGTCTGACAACACACAATCCTGTTCTAACAGATGCAGTTCAGTACATTGTCTGACAACACACATCCTGTTCTCACAGATGCAGTTCAGTACATTGTCTGACAACACACAATCCTGTTCTCACAGATGCAGTTCAGTACATTGTCTGACAACACACATCCTGTTCTCACAGATGCAGTTTGGTACATTGTCTGACAACACAATCCTGTTCTCACAGATGCATTTCAGTACATTGTCTGACGAGACACAATCCTGTTCTCACAGATGCAGTTCAGTACATTGTCTGACAACACACAATCCTGTTCTCACAGATGCAGTTCAGTACATTGTCTGACAACACACAATCCTGTTCACAGAATCATTTCAGTAAAATGTCTAGCAACGCACAATCCTGTTCTCACAGATGCAGTTCAGTACATTGTCTGACGAGACACAATCCTGTTCTCACAGATGCAGTTCAGTACATTGTCTGACAACACACAATCCTGTTCTCACAGATGCAGTTCAGTACATTGTCTGACAACACACAATCCTGTTCTCACAGATGCAGTTCAGTACATTGTCTGACGAGACACAATCCTGTTCTCACAGATGCAGTTCAGTACATTGTCTGACAACACACAATCCTGTTCTCACAGATGCAGTTCAGTACATTGTCTGACAACGAACAATCCTGTTCTCACAGATGCTGTTCAGTACATTGTCTGACAACACACAATCCTGTTCACAGAAGCATTTCAGTACATTGTCTGACAACACACAATCCTGTTCTCACGAATGCAGTTCAGTACATTGTCTGACAACACACAATCCTGTTCACAGAAGCATTTCAGTACATTGTCTGACAACACACAATCCTGTTCTCACGGATGCAGTTTTGTACATTGTCTGACAACACACATCCTGTTCTCACAGATGCAGTTCAGTACATTGTCTGACAACACACAATCCTGTTCTCACAGATGCAGTTTGGTACATTGTCTGACTACTTCAACACTCTATACAAGACTATGGGGGTAGACGTAGGGGCACAGCCCAAGAGCATCCCAGTGCTCAGCGGAGATTTCTTCACTTATGCTGACCGTGATGATCACTACTGGAGCGGATATTTCACCTCTAGGCCCTTCTACAAACACCTGGACAGGCTAATGGAGGGTCATCTCAGGTATGTGATAACACTGGTGAACATACTGACAGTGGGTCATCTCAGGTATGTGATAACACTCTGGTGAACGTACTGATGGTGGGTCATCTCAGGTATGTGATAACACTCTGGTGAAATACTGATAGTGGGTTATCTGAAGTATGGGATAACACTCTGGTGAAATACTGATGGTGGGTCATCTCAGGTATGTGATAACACTCTGGTGAACATACTGATGGTGGGTTATCTGAGGTATGTGATAACACTGGTGAACATACTGACAGTGGGTCATCTCAGGTATGTGATAACACACTAGTGAACATACTGATTGTGGGTTATTTGAGGTATGTGATAACACTCTGGTGAACATACTGATAGTGGGTCAGTATCTAGCTTCACTATTAGTATCTAGCTTCACTAATTCTTACGAAACTTCTACCTCTATTACATATCTGCCATAAATCCTGTATTTTGGCTTCAATCGTACTCACTAAAATTTTCAGATTTTACTCTTCACTGTCTTTTACACACAACTAGTAACTACCGTGAAAGTGCAGAAGATCACCACTGAAAAATCACCGTCTACCCTAGTGCCTCCCTCTCCAGCGACCCCATCATCTTCTGCTCTCTCCTACAACAGCTACTGAGAGAAGAGCAGAAGATGATGAAGGAGATGATGAAGGACATACGAGAAGCAAAACTGTCCGATATGGATGCTTAGATGGAGACGGGAGCTCTGGCAAAGACTACCAGATGTTCATCCACGGCCGGGGGCCAGGCCACGGACCAAGGCGTGGCTCCTGGTCGCCAACCCATAGACCAGTCACCAAGCCAGCTAGCACAGTTAACAACACCGTACGGGAACTGCACGGTATCCATGGACAGGCAACTACAACCAAGCCACCACGCCATAGCAACCGACTGATAAGCCGTCCAGCCAGCCAACCGCGAAGACACCGTACGGCCGCCATGGGCCAGCCACGCACGGCTACCCAGCCTACCGACCACGGCTTAGCGTTTGACCGTCCAACAGGACTCAAGCCAAGACTCAAGACTCCATGGGATTACCCAGCCGGCCAGCCACCGCATTGCTACCATTATGCACGGGTTACAAGCCTCAGGGAGATATAGACCAGAATCATGGTCACCGGAGGATGACGAGCTCTACGGGGCAGAACCTGAGGGATACGATTATCGACCCCCCACGGGAGATTCCCAAGGTTACTCAGAGTCGGAATCAGAGGGTTTGGAGGAACTTGACAACTCACCCCAAACAAGGTTACAGCGAAGGCTACACTTTTGTGGAACTGATCAAAGAACTTTACCACCTTATGCCTTCACTTCAGCCACATGTGACAGAGGATTCACCACTCCAGATGCCAGAATACTGTGGATGTCATGCGCCTGCTCCATCTCAGCATATTCATCAGACGTTACCTTGGCCCAGCTACGCAGGCAAGGTTGTAGACCAATCGATGGATAACATCCATAAACTCAAGCATGATGAACGTCTACCTCTTCCACCTATGAAACGGAAGATTACATTAAGTAATACGTTACCACTGTTATACCGAGGCTGTTGTCTCCCACAACTGCTGCTATAGCGAAATCTACCACAGAGATCTCAATTACCTCATGCAGCACGTGCGTAGCCACCTAGCTGCCATGTGACACCCTTCACTCTTGTCTCCTTCGTCTGCTTAGCAAGACGTGTTTTCTCCTGCTGAAGCGTTCCTTGAAGATTTGGTGATATTTATTATCGTTTATTCTCTAATAAACTGTGCTTTTATGGGGCGTTGCGGTAGCTACGCTTGGTTATAATTTCCCCCCCAAACGGAAAATTTTTCCCGCCCTTTTTTCTATATACTTGCGGGGTTCGCGTATGCACGTTGTGTTTTACGTTTCCCCTGTTCTTGTATGTTTTGGGGGTTAACATAACTTATTTCTTTAGTAAAAGTTCTATGTGTATGTTATATGTTCACATTGCTCGTTTATTTTCTTGTGAAAATGTTCGTTTGTGAATCATTGTGGTGCGTGCGTTGTAACCATGTTTTGTTCTTTGTTTCTAGAAAACAATCAATGTCTGACATGGATATGTCCCCTGTCTCCACCCCCTCTACCCCTGTTCCTCGGAGTTGTGGGGTGTGCAGAAAGTTTTTGTCGTCCCGGGATCCCCACGATCGTTGCCCGCGGTGCAGGGTTCCTTGCGAGGAAACACGGTGCACCCTGTGCGAAGGTCTGGGACCTGCGGAGTTTGAGCGGTACCGGCTGTGCGCGCAGTCCGTTTCCACCCCTGTGGTGGCCGGTTCGTCCGGTCGGGGCCCCCGTGCGGGCACCTCCTTGTCGGCTGCGGCGGATCCCCTTGCGGCCCTCGGGCTGTCTGGGGCTTCCGTCGCCGCATTGTTGTCGCAAATTGTGGACTCCAAGCTGGCGGCCTTATCGCAAGATAGGCCGCTGGCTGTTCCGTCCCCGGCCTCTTCGGTGGCCGCGGGTTCGGATGCGGGGTCCACCGGTACGGCGCCGGCTGCTGGGTTACCGGTCCTTCCCCCGAACCGTTGCTTCCGCTATCGGTTAAGGACCGCGTGGCCATGGTGTATGACCTCTTCGAGGACATGCCAAAGCCCCTGCCGATACCGCGGGGTATCCACGGTTCCGTGGGTTCCTCCGAGGTATACGACGAGTCGTCCGACAAGGCTTTCCCGGCATCAACCTTGCTGCGCGGGATTAAGCCGTCTTTGGAGAAAGCCTTCACGGCTGCCTCCGGTCGGGGTCTCCCGTTACCTCCCCCGTCGTGGAGAAAAGGGTCTTTCCCAGTTCATGACCTTGCCTTTCCCGAGGCTGGTCCTTCTGCGGAAGCCCATGTGGAGCGTTTGGGGGTCCGTGCCCCACCGGTTGCCACGGTACCGCAAGGTACCCTGCAACAGCTGGACACCCTCGCTCGACACTCCATGCTGGCTATGTCTCACGGAGACACATACCTGGCTGCGGCGGCCAGTCTGGTCGAAGGTTCTCCCACGGACCGTGACCAGCGCATTTACAACTGCTTGCTCGGTTTGAATGCTTCCCTGGAGTACGTTGCCGGGGCTTCGGCCTTTGTTTCCGGCACGTGCCATTTTCTTCGGCGCCAGTCGTATCTGGTTGCTTCAGGGTTGGACGCTGCCAATCAGGAGGTGCTCCTTTCACAGCCTTGGTCTGCTCGGACCCTGTTTAATAACAAGATCCCTGGGGTTCTGAAGGAACAACAGGCCGCTGTGTCTGCCGAGGCCTCTCGGCACACACTGGATCTTGTGGGGTCCTTGCATAGGCGCCAGGTTGCTGCGTCCGGCAGGCCTAAGGGGTCGGGTCCTTCTTCCTCCGGGAAGAAGCCCCGCTCTGAGGGCTCCGGTAAGGGTTCTCAGCAGCCCTTTCGCGGGAAGAAGGGGAACTTGGGGAAGCCCAAGTCGTCTAAGGACGGCAAGGGCCCCTCCAGGTGACTCTCATTGGAGGGGTTCGTATGCCGACAGCGCCAACTTCGGTTGGCCCGTAGGCGAACCCGAGTCACACGGCCCTGGACAGTTGCGCCTGCCGCAGCCCGTCCGGCCCCCCTCTCTTTCCCCAGTGGGAGCCAGACTCCAGACTTACTGGGAGAATTGGGAACAAGTGTTCGACGACCCGTGGGTGGTCAACACGATTCGGTACGGCTTTCGGCTCGATCTCAAAGCGAATCCGCCGCTCACCGTTGCCCCGTCGGCAGGTTTCTATTCGGAAACCGATCTTCCCTTCCTCGCCGATGCCATCGGCAGGTTGGTGGAGAAGAGGGCAGTTCGGGAGTTAGCTCTACCAGAAATAACACCGGGGTTTTACTCCAGGATATTTCTCGTTCCCAAGAAGGACAGTGCCGAACTCAGAATGATTCACAACTTGAAATCGTTCAACGAGTTCTACCTGCGCAAGCCGCCCAAGTTCAGAATGTTGAGCTTGACGGACCTGAAAGCACTGATCATGCCGGCCGACTGGCTAGCTTCAATCGACCTGAAGGATGCTTATCTGCATGTTCCGATTCACTCGGATCATCACAGGTATCTCAGGTTTGTCTTTCAAGGCAGGCACTACGAGTGGGTTGTACTCCCATTCGGTCTTTCGTCCGCTCCCTGGCTGTTCACCCGGTTAACCACCCCCATAGTGGGGTTCCTCCACCGGAGGGGTGTCCGGTACTTCGCGTACCTGGACGACTCGCTAGTAGCAAATCGAATGTCGGACACCCTGTCACGCCATCTCGTTTTCGCACGTCGGCTCTTGGAGCAATTGGGGTGGATTGTCAATCTCCCCAAGAGCGAGTTAACCCCTTCTCAGAACTTGCAGTTCATCGGAGGTCGGTTCAACACGGTGTCCCATCGCCTATTTGTCCCCCCAGACCTGTACAAAATTCAGGCGATGATTGCCAAAGTCTTAGCGGTGCAACAGACTGTTCACTTTTGGGAACAGCTGTTAGGGCTACTTGTATCAGCCCAGGACTGCACCGTACGGGGTCGTCTCCAACTCCGCCCGCTGCAACGGTTTTTAATCCAGTTGTTAGCAACGGAGGTGAACAGTGCGACCGTCACCCTCCCGGATCGGCTCCGACCGCATCTGGAGTGGTGGACGGTCCCTTACAATGTCTTATCAGGAGTCTCTATGCGGCCCTACCGGGCCACGTTGAACCTGTATACAGACGCCTCTCTAGTGGGCTGGGGCGCCCATCTAGAGGGGGAGGTGAGCTCGGGGCTGTGGTGCGTAGACGAACTAGGTCTTCACATCAATTGTCTCGAGTTCAAGGCAGTGATCAACGCAGTCAATCACTGGAAGCATCGTCTCGTCGACGCCCGGCTCATGCTGGCGACCGACAACACGACGGTAGTGTCCTATGTGAACAAACTGGGGGGAACCCACAGTCACTCGCTGCTCGATCTCACGTTCGAGTTTTACGCTCTGGTGGACAGTGTCCCGTGCCAGATACGCGCCCGTCACATCCCAGGTGTGCGGAACGTACTGGCCGATGCTCT